GCATTTTGTCTACCCTCAATGGTGCTCTTGAGTATCATTGTGAAAGGTAAGACAACTAAATCAACTGTCTTAATGATTGTTTTCCCTTTCCTTGTCTATTGGTAACAGAAAAATTGACGGAAGCCTCGGGCAACCTGACAAATCCACACGAAGGACTCGATGTAAATTCTTAAACATCACATTGCAACTCCACTTCGTGGTAAAGCTAGTTTAGATAGGGCACGTGATCAAAACCATAATTATAGGACTGGGGTACGCCAGAGCCTTACAAAACACATCACAACAGAGCGTAATTTCGGAAGCCAACACATCGCATACAAGTGTGGGAGCCACCACTCCCTGCTCTGAAAAAATTAATAAATAGATTTCATATCTACGGCCCAAGGGGCCCTTTCATCACGAACTTAGTGCTGTGGTAAAAATAAATACAAAGTTGGTAATCACAGCTGCACGGGAGCAACTGTATAAGAGCAGGAATGAGTAGTATGTTATCCATATGTTATCCGATTTAAAATGGACTGTCTTTTAAGACAATAGTCAACAATATTAGGTAACTATTTTTAACTGAGATAGACGCAGTGTCAATAACTCCTATAAGTGAAATCAGCGGCAGAGTTCAGTGACTCCCCGATTTCAAAACAAATGTAGAAGAAAAACTGCCTATTTCCAAAATGAATTGGAGATGGTATCATGACGTTTTTGCGAACGTGTGACGGTTCGGAACATTTCTTGCCATGGAAGATATCATAGAACACAATGGGGTGAAACGGGGGGAGCTCATCGGGGACAACGGGGTCTACAGGAGGAGGGACGGTAGAATTCAATAGAACATCAAAGAAAGGCCTGGACGCGACCATGCAGAATGCGGAATCCACTGACAAAGTGGCCAAAACATAAGAAGCCGCGATGACATCAACAGAATTGGCAATGCATGTTCGCATGCCGAATAGGCTGTTGGAGTTGCCTTTGCGGTTCAATGAAGCGTATTTTCATCTCGTTACATCATATTTAGTTTGATTATGCTGCAGTTGCCCGCAGAAGCTCGTAAGCTTTGTACACCTTGCAAATATATGCCATTTGTGGTGGTTGGCACTTTAAGATTACACTGCAGAAACGGATTTGCCAGGGAATATTTCGTTTCCGAGGAGCCCGAACATAGAGTTTGAACTGCAGCCGGGTTGAGGTGGTAGTCTAAAGCCTTTCATAATTATTGTCTTCTACAGTTCCTATAATCCTGTTTC